CACTAGATGATTATTATTATTATTGTACTGTTTGTCACATTGACACCAAGAAAAAGTCATTCTAGGTTCATGAGAAAACAAAACACAAAATTGTACTGTTGGCTTTCAATACTGTTGTAATTCAGAGCTTTCACTTTATATTTGCCACAAATAATAATAATAATAATAATTTTCCAAATAATTTTGTTCTATTTCTATCTTGTCAACTTTTGTAAATATCATGTCTTCAGGCCTCTAAAAAATCAAATTACTTTTGCAGCAGTTTGAGCTATAGTGGCTGATTTGTTGGATTGGAACACAGGGGCCAGCCTTCGCTCCCCATGTACAACAATGAGCCTAATCACTTGAAAGTACAAGTTCAAGGCCTCTGATCTTAAAGAAGATAGAATTAGGTATAATGCTCCTAATTCTATCTGTGGATGTAGGATTGTTTAGAAATTGCTTCATCCAATTCATCTTAAAGGTTCTGCCTTTGTCAGTAACACTTACCCATTTTAAGATAAATATCTTTTAAACCATTGGTTAAACCTTTTTCTTCTTGTATCAATAAGTAGGCAAAACCTTTGAGATCACATTGCTTCTTCATTTTTCATGATGGCAATCCCCAAATAAGTGAGCTTTTCTTTTACCAGTACATTATAGACACAAGTAAGTAACATTGCATTCTTTAAAAGACAAAAGCAAGTTCAAACAGCCCAGATGCTGCAGAACATGAGTCTATTGTTTTTAGGTTTTGGGTACTTTAGAAATGAAACATCAGCAAGTTGACTAATTATAATATCTCTGTCTGCAATGGATATTCCTTTTAATGAGCTATTGTTTTTAATGAAATGTTGTATATAGAGGAGAAATAAATACAGGGAGGGTGGACAACCCCTTCTTCTTCTGATATACCTGTGACAAAGTACAGTAGGTATAGCTATAAACCTTTACTAAGACACTACCATGATTTCTCAAGTATCAGCTTGCTTTGAATTTAAATAATTCCCAACTGCTACAAAGTGCATTTTCAGATTGTGCTTTGTTTAAAAATTGCATTATTAGTTGTTAGTGCTGTAACAGTGAACTATTAAGCTTCCAGGAAGCACTTCTGCATACCTTAGCATTGGCAGAGTGTAAATGAATAGAGATGGGGACTGCTTTATGATCTTTAAACTGTGTTGTAAGGATACTGACTGATCTTGTCAACATCAAAATATTATTTGATAGCAAAAAGTCCAAGTGTAATGTTTTCTGAAGTTTTTTAATAACCTTCAGTGAACCTTTAGAGAACATATAGTTTACAGCAACAGTGTCTCTGTAGCAAGCAGTTAATAAGCATTTTTCATTGAAGAACGACAGTGGCCCCTGGTGGTCAATACCTGCAAGTTTGTATTTTACGTTCGTTCTGTAATGTTATATTTTACATCCAGGTTTTATAGACTCTTTTGTAAAGATATCTCACAGCTGATAGAACTGTCTTATAGTGCAGAAAGAATAGTCAAATACCAACTAGAAGAAGTCTGCTGCAAACAGTTGCAAATTAAACCATTTATTTCATTTCATACAATTTTTTTATGAATCAATTTTTACAAAGAGGAATATACTGTATAAGAATTATTAGAAAAAATGTATTTCTTTTTCCAGTTTTCCGTTTTTAACATCTTTAATGGATTAAGATAGAGTTTGTCCCTTAAAAGAACTGCTAACATTTAGCACCATTTCTTAAAACATTATGAAAGCTTTTTTAAGATACTGCATGAAATGTTTCTTATCATCATGTGTTGATTATGTAGCTCAATAATACTCTTGATTGTGTGTCTGTTGTATAAATGAGATATGAGAGTGAGAGTAATAACTTTTAACAAGTTTTACTGAAGAACGTTGTTTGTTGTTTATCTGCAGTAAATAATGACACCGCAGTGTACAGCTCAGACTTTACTGTGAGATGTCATTTAGAATTTCTAGCTGCTGGCGACGGGGCTGAAGGGTTTCGCAGTGTCAGCCATGAAAGCCTCAATCTCCTCCACGGTGCGAGGGACGCAGGTCAGCAGCTCCATACCATTAGCTGTCACTGCAATGTCATCTTCAATGCGAACCTGCACACAGTAGTGACACAGTAGTCAGTCAAACATGGAAGAATCGTAGCAGGAAACGTTTAAAAGGCAAACACAGTCAATGCAAAAATGGAAACACAAATTATATGTATTAGGATTCATATGAGTTGGATCAGTCACTGAAAAATATATACTAACAAGGAAAAGTTTTTTTTTTATTCATATTGTCCTTAAGGATCATCTATTTAAGTCTAAATTGACCACAGTCCTTATATAAATATTATACATTTTTGGTACAATTACATAATCTTGAGGCTTAAATGAATGCATTGTTTTGTTAAGTGTTTCTAAAGAATAAAAATGTCAATTTGTGGACCAAGTATCAAGTAAGTGATATTGTAAGTTCATTTCAGTATTGGTTGTTTTTAAATCTTTAGACACTTTGATACATTTCTATTCCCCCTCA